TCATATATTATTTATCCTTTAAAGTTGCACTTAAGATATTTATCAATTCAACAAATATCATAACATAATATCTATTAGAAATAAATTCTTATGCAAATTTTAGCTACATTCTTAAGTTGCTAGAAAAGTTTGATAGAAAACGAATTCATGCAAATCTAAAATCTATGATGAGATGTTTTCCTACTTCTAAATTATTGCATTATACTAATTTTTATGTTAATATTACTATCGATACATATATAAATTTATAATTTATAGATCTATGATGAGATATTTTCCTATTTCTACTACATTATTGCATTATACTAATTTTTATGTTAATATTACTATCGATAAATATATAAATTTATAATTTTTAAATATATGAATATAATAATTTTAGCAGCAAGATATCATAAAAATCATTTAATTATGCAACATTTCAAAAGAAAATAAAACAAATAATATACCAACATAGGATTCGAACACGTGACCTCAGATTAAAGAAGCAAGTGCCTTAACCAAGTGTGCTAGCAAATATTCGTGAATATTCACCAAATAGCTACTTAATATATCGAATCAAATTTGAACACTTCCTACCCATTCAACACGAATTCAAAGGTATTCCATCAAATCCTATTCATTTCTGCTCTTATTTCTAACCTCAAATGTTCATATCCTCAGTTTTAATTTCTGCATCAATACCATGAAAGAAAAACCTACAACTTTGATAACTGGTTATACAAATACTTACTCAATTTAGACGAACAACCACTACTACACATGCTGATGGAACATGCAAGTATGTTGCACACAAAGATTATAATGTTTTACTAAGGAAATTTTAGTGAATATGCCAAATTGCAATTTACGAATTCAATTTAGTGTCACACAAGTGATTTCAATCAGGAGGGAGAAATACCTATTCTGTCCACTAACTCCAACATAACTTGAACGCGTATTCAAATAGCTACAAATCTACAGCTAGAACATGACCCATATCCCATATTAACTCACTTAGTTAAAGTTAAGAAAGAACCTTCGCACTCATTATCCATAAACCTAACTGATTTTCAATAATATTGTACTTTTAAATCAAACCAGTACGTCTGTATATCAATAGTTGATTTCATAAGCAATTTAGTAAGCCATCAACGCCAAATGCCAACTACTTTAATTTGACCAGAGTAAGACCAATTTACAAAAATATCCCAAGGACATCAATAAAACCCTATGAATGTTTGCATATAATATAGAAATTTGTTTGTTAGAAAAGAAAATTATACATACTAGAATCTAAGTCTGAGCTACAAGATCGCCATCAGCCCAAGTTTAGCCTACTAGTCAAATTTCATACATCCATAAACAAAAGTCAGTAAAGAAGTACAAATTAGTAGAGATAATCTATGAAGCACGGATACTCCCCCAATGACCACGAATCCGTGTCTGACACGAATCAGACACGGATTCGTGCCCGACACGTGCAAGACACGTGTCGGACACGGTCAAACAGTGTCCGATACGTGGTCAACGGGTCAATGGGGAGGGGATACGGTCAACTGGGAGGGGACACGGCTGGGATACGAAAAAAAAAGCAATACATAACCCGTAACCAAAACCCAAACCCAAAAACCCTAATTTCACTTCGCTCACCTCACTCGAGACGCCGCCGCCTCCAGCGATCGCAAGCTTCTGCCGTCTCTCGTCGTCGATCTCTTCCACCCGAAGGCCGTCGTCGTCGATCATCTCCTCCACCCGAAGCTTCTCGTCGTCGATCTCCTCCACCCGAAGCTTCTCCTCGTCGATCTCCTCCACCCGAAGGTCGTCGTCGTCGATCTCCTCCACCCAAAGCTCGTCTTCTTCGTCGTCGTCGTCGTCGCTGCTAGGTTCGTCGTCGCTGCTAGGTTCGTCGTCGATCTCCTCCGTCCCTCTCTCTGTCTTATTTCCGTCCCCCTCTTTCGCTGTCTCTCTCTCAACAGCTTCCGTCCCTCTCTCTGTCTTATCTCCGTCATCCTCTCTCTCTCTCTGTCTCTCTCTCAATCTCTCTCTCTCTTTCTTTTAACCTTTTTTTTTAAGACTGATCTTTTTTCCCCCTCTTTCGCTGTCTCTCTCTCAACAGCATCCGTCCCTCTCTCTCTGTCTTATCTTCGTCATCCTCTCTCTCTCTCTGTCTCTCTCTCAATCTCTCTCTCTCTTTTAACCTTTTTTTTTAAGACTGGTCTTTTTTTTAATGCAGTTTGACTGTTTGTGCTACTGTTGATTGGTGTTGATTGGTGAGCAACTGAGGATCACTTCATTTGGTATTTTGTTTTTTTAATTTCAATTTTAATTTTAATTTCAGTTTCAATTACAGTTTTAATTTCATAACATATGACTACTTCTCTACTTCTACATTATTAATTACATTATACTATGTTTTTATGTTATGTAATATTATAAATATTTCTATTGATAAATATATAAATTAATAAGTTATAAATGTATGAGTTTAATAATTTTAGTAGTGATATATCATAATACCCATTAGGTAAATATGTAAAATTCAAAAGGAAAATAGACTAGAAATCAGACATGATCACATGAGTTTCTTAGATTTTAAAAATTCCCCTTCTTAGGAAAAGCCTCTGAAAAATTATGAAATGTGTTCGCTAGAGTTAGAGTCAAATCAACTGACAGGAACATGCCAACTCATCCTTCCTTTTGGTTTGTGAGAGGAAAATCTGAAGTGCCTTCTCTTTGAATTGGTCTCCAGGTTTTTGCGAACCAAACAATCCCTTACTTCAGGCCTGCCCATGTGCTTTCTGGCCCATCTTTGATTAATAGTGGATCGGCCTCTTTCTTGTTTATGTATACAGTAAATCCAAATTAAGTTATTATCCGTCCACAAATAATTTTTTTAACTAGTAACAATCATTTTATACCCTATAATATAATATTTTTTTTGGTCAATAAAATAAACTTTTATTCATCTCCCAAAGTATAAAAAATATGTACATCAAATCAAACTAGACCTTAGTCTGATGTTCAACAGATCATATCAACACACTACAATTGTTCAAATTTTCCTTTTATATCAGAAGAAACATTATCATTTAAAATCTTTGTGAAGATGGCAACTTTTATGCATCTGATAAGAACTTCAGGTGGCCTAGCTTTAGACTGGAAAATGCGTAAATTTCTTTCCTTCCATATTGTGTACCCTGTCACAGATAAAGCCAACCTCTTTAATTTCTTCATATAACCAGCACCATTTAGTCTTGAACTATACCAGCTAATGATATGGTCCCAACTGCATGACCTCCATCTGAAATTCAGCCATTGCATAATTCCATTCCACACCATAGCAGAGTACTAACATTCAAAGAGAAGATGGCGACAGGTTTCTTCTTGGTGATTAGAACACAGACATGCATTTGTATCTAGAATTCTCATGCAACATAACCTGTCTTTGCTTAGCAGTCTTGAATGTATGGCCAACCATAATATGAAAGAATGTTTAGGATAGTGCCAGCCACCCCAAACAGTATTCAACCAAGGCACTTGAGGAGATTGATGAATCAGCTTTTTGTATATAGAAGAGATTTGAACTTTATCTCCAGAGCAGCAGTTATTAATGGTATTGTGGAGATTAATCACACTTCTAAATTTTCCAATTAGCATATCTCTTACTCTATGAAGTTGTTTCCATATCCAAGAATTATTTAGGTTGAACTTGCCAAATGTTGTAGTGTTGTAGATAGTTGCCATGAACCCATTTAATCCAAAGAAGATCCTTCTTAAGATGAATCATCCAAATAAGCTTAACTGCACCTACCAAATTCCAGAATTTTGCAGAAAAAATTCCAAGACCACCCTGCTTTTTATCCTTACAGATCATCTCCAAGATACCAAATGCATTTTCCGGTTCCAAAGAAAATCAGAGCATAAGCTATCAATTTTTTCCAGAATTTTCATAGGTAGAATGTAGTTACTAGTCCAGAAAATTTGCACTCCAAGGATGACTGATTTAATGAGTTGAAGCCTACCAGTATACGATAAATTCTTTCTCTTTTGCCAGTTCTGAAACTGGTCTGTTATTTTGCTGATCAAAGGGGAGTAGTCCAAGCACGTTAATCTTTTTGAGATTAGTGGCATACCCAGATATCTAACTGGTAATACCCCTTCAGAGAAATTCAGAAAGTTGCAAATCTGATGCTTCACACTTTCATCAGTGCCACTTATATAGACAGAACACTTGTTGGGGTTTATTTCCAAACCAGAGACCCTACTGAATTCCTGAAGGCAATCATGCAGTTTTGCTATGGAATACATATCAGCTCTTGCAAATAAAAGCAAGTCATCAGCAAAGAATAGATGTGTAATCTGGTGCACTTAGGATGAAATCTGAACAACCTGTCAGTTGTGAGTGTGTTTAGTTTTCTTGATAGGTATTCTATTCCAAGCACAAAGAGATAAGGTGAAAGGGGATCCCCTTGTCTTAAACCTCTAGCCCCTTTAAAGTATCCATGAAGAGCACCATTTAGAGAGATAGAGAATTTAGGTGTGGAAATACATTCCATAATCCATAAAATCAACTTTTCAGGAAAGCATAATCCAGATAGCATGGCCTTGATGAAGTCCCAGCTTATGGTGTCAAAAGCTTTACGTAGGTCAATGTTGAGAGTAGCTCTAGGAGATGTAAGCTTCCTACCATACTGCTTTATAAGCTCATGGGCTAAAAGAATGTTACTTGAGATAGACCTTCCTTTAACAAATGCACTTTGTCCATCACTTATCAAATACCCCATTACCTTCTGAACTTTGTTAGCAATAATTTTTGAGATGAATTTGTAAACACAGTTATAACATGAGATTGGTCTATAGTGAGAAGGGGACTTAGGATTGAGAATTTTTGGCACAAGGGTAATAGATGTAGAATTGTAAGTGCCAAGTAGATTATCAGAATTGAAGAATTCCTCTATGGGAAGATAGACATCCTCATCAATCACTTTCCATGCAGTTTTGAAGAATAATGCATTGTATCAATCAGGTCCAGGGGCTTTGTCATTTGATATAGAGAAAACTGCTTGTCTTATTTCTGCTCTAGTAACTGGAGAGCATAGCATGTTGCTTTGAGCTGGAGATAATACAGGCCCATTAGATATCACCCCAGGATCATGTGTGATAGTAGGAGTAGCAATACCAAGAAGGTTTTCATAATAACCAGTGAACTCTGTAATTATATCATAAAAATCAGTAATCCTATCACCATTTTCAGCATAAAGTGATAACACCCTATTCTGGTTCCTTTTAGCCTTCATAATGGAGAAATTTTTTTTTGAACATTTGTCCCCATAAAGACCCCATTTGATGTTGGCTTTCTGTCTGTAAAATGAAGTTTCACAGTCCAAAAGCTTGGTATATTTGTCTAAGAATTCCTTTTCTTTCCTTATCAGGTCCTGATTGAAGAGATCATTATTCAAATGATTCTGGATATCAGAAAGTTCACTATTGGCTCTAGACACTTGCTCGCTTATGTTCATGAAGTGCTTCTTGTTTAATTCTTTCAAATCCTGCTTTAGATTCTTGAGTTTGGCATGAAGCTTATACATATAGTATCCTCTGATATTTTGTCTCCAAGCATTTCTGACAACTGGGATGAACTCAGGGTGATTTACCCACATATTAAAAAATCTGAAAGGTCTTTTCCCTTCAACTACCTCATCTCCTATTATTAAGAGTGCAGGAGAGTGATCAGAACAAATAGGAGCTAGGAAATCCACTTGACTGGAGTTATAATTTTGAATCCAATCTTCATTGACTAGAATTCTATCAAGCCTACTCCAGATTCTTGAGATAGCATCCTGCTTATTATTCCAGGTAAAATAGCATCCAGTAGATTTTAGGTGCAGCAGTTGACATGTTGATATAAATCTTTAAAAATCCTCAGTTTCTGAATCATTAACAAGAGCACCCCCTAATTTCTCCTCAGCACTGATAATGGCATTAAAATCTCCACCAACAATCCAGGGGCAATTAACACTTTGCTTGAAGGATAATATATCATCCCATAGAACTTTCATGCCTTCCATATCATTAAAAGCATATACCACAGAAATTAGACATGAAATTTTATCATCCTTTGATTTTATCTTACATGTCATGCATTGCTCTGAGGATGTAATGCATTGGACTGTGACAATATCACTATCCCATAAAATCCAAATTCTCCCTTTGACAGCTTGTTGGCTTTTTGAGATCCAATCCCAGTTCTTAATCATTTTAGTAGCTATTCTTTGCATTTTATCCCCAGCAATTTTTGTTTCCAAGAGAGCTATAAAAGATAATTTGTAATCACACACAAGCTGCTTAACCACCATTTGTTTGGAGGACTTATTCAGTCCTCTAATGTTCTATATTGCAAAATACATTAAAATTTTTTAGACCACCCCTGTCAATACTAGAGGGGTCAAAATCATGCATTTTGTCCTCCAAAGAAGAAAATTTTGATACCTGAAAATAAGAAGTCCCCTCAATATTTGCATTAGATCTTTCTTTGCCTCTTCTGATAAAATCTTTGTTAACAGTAGAAAAACCTGTTACATTAATAGTTAGGGAGGAAACTACAACTCTTGAATTAGGAGTTACTGTTTGTGCATGTTTCCAGACATCACTTCCAGATTTTCCAGCATTTCTCTTATCCCCACTGGATCCCTGTTGATTTTGTGATTGTTGCTCAACTTGCCCAGGAGTACCAACAATATCAGTCCTATCATTTCCAGCATTTCCATTTACCCCCAAAGGACCCTGCTGCATATGTGTAAAATCTTGTCATGTAACAGTTTCAGCATCTCCCACTTGTTGTGCATGTGTAGCAGGTCTAGCCACAGAATTCACAATGACTTCAGGTTTTTGTGCATCCTCTCCAGCATTTCTATTAACAGGCATCCATCTCATCCTCTCATTTTTCCCTTCTACATTGCTCAGTGAAATGTCCAATAGCCTTGCAAAAGTCACACCATCTTGGCTTAAGTTCATATATTACTTTTTGTGTATAATTTTTCCCATCAGGTCCCTAAATGACAATTTGATCAGGTAAAGGATTTTTCAATGGTAGTTGCACCTCAAGTAAAACTCTAGCATAGGATAGCCTTTGCCTTGTTGCTGTGAGCTTATCAGTAGTAATAAGATTGCCAATAAGGCTAGCTACCTTGCTTATACCTGTAGGACTCCATAGATTCAAAAGTAGATTAGGGAACTGAACCCACATATGGTAATTACAATCTTGAATTCTTTCCATTTCCATGTCAATTTTCCATGGTTTGAGAACTAAAGGCCTTGAACCAAAGAACCATGGCACTGCTTCCAAAACATCACTCATCTGCCTTTCAGTTTGGAAATCAAAAAGAAACACCCCCTGTTTGATCAAATGAACTCTAGGAATAGAAATTTCCCCCCATATTTTGTTAACATAGGATTCCATAGATTTAAATCTAACATTTAGTCTAATAACATGACCAATTAGAGCAAATTTCTAGTAGGATTCACCTTCCTTCCATTCATTAGAATTGAATATAACAGTATGCTCTTGAGAAGGAGGAACATAGTTCAGATTCAATCCATTTCCGCTCTTTCTGTTATAAGCAAATAGACTAGCAAAAGTCTTAGGAATTTCTGGATTTTGCTTATCCTCTAGAGATTCATTCCCATTTTTAACAACTCCATTCACATCTTCGTTCACTGATTTCTCAATACAAGAAAGATCTACCAGATTTAAATTTTCTTTCTTACCAATTAAATCTTGCTCAACATTAGAGAGATCTATCAGATCAATATTCTCATTTCCACCATTAGCATTCAAATCATCTTGAACAAATCTTTCAGAATTAACACCAGCTGGATTAATATTTTCATAAGATCCAGATTCAAAACACTTCTCTACCTCATCTGCCCAAGTGGAAGAAGAATTTCTTAGTTGTCGAGAAACAAGAAGGCCAGATCTCACCTGAGGCGTTTGAGGATCAGATGTAGAAGTGGTTTTTCCAAGAATTTCCTCCATCCTCATCTTCTTCTTGGCCCATTTAGGTCCAGTGCTTTCCATGACTATAGATCTTGAAGATTCCTCAAGCTTATCCTCAGCTACTGTTACATCGGCTGCTCCTTCCAGATTTGATGAAGATGAATACACAAACATAGAATCTCTCAGCTCAATGCTAGGCACTCTCTTTCCACTGCTCTTCTTCTTCTTCCTCATGAGAAACAAGGCGGAGGTGCACGCTAGTAAGGGGAAAAATCACCTGCTAAAATGCACCAAAAGATCCCACCACTTTTTTAGAATTATCTCTTTTAGACTTGTTATACTTCCCTATAATATAATATTAATAGAATGAGATTAATGTATATCATGTCATATGAGGGAATTCCCTCATATAAAATGACCTGGCTTAATCTTGATGGGTGTTAGTGAGGATTTCCTCTCCAGCAAACTTATTTGGATTAGATTGTGTCACATCATTGTCATACATTTGATATATATGATCCTCATTATTATTTAATAGAATATACAAGAAGTTTGTGGTTAGTATACTATTTTTGAGTGAATGTGGATGGACCAGGTGTTTCATTAGTGCACCAGTAATTATTGTCATTTTCAAATTTTTATTTTCTATATTATCCCTGTACATAATTATTGTTGCAAAGTTTTAATTGTCCATCGGTACAAGTCAGCTAATTAGAATTTGACTTTTCCTTCCGTGAATTATTGTTGCAAACATATCTTTCCTTTTCTAAACAATCACACCCTTTTATATTAATTTTCCCAGTAAATTAAATTATTTTAGTCAAAAATAAATAAATAGATGAATAAATAAATAAATATCGCCCTCACCAATGATATCCGCCTATAAATGCCAAAACAAGTGACTCCGCACTACACACTCGCTCATCTCTTACTTCCTCCTCCTCTCCACAATAAGCCATAGCCATGTCTTCTCCTAACCCTAATCTACCCACTCTCAACACCCTCAAACCCGACCCGTTAACACCCTTCAACCGCCTCCACCTCCTGCTCTATTCCTTCTCCCTCCTCCTCCTCTTCTACCACCACCTCACCTCCTCCTCCCCTCTCCTCCTCATCCTCTCCGACCTCATCCTCGCCTTTCAATGGGCCTTCACCCAGGCCTTCCGCTGGCGTCCCATCCGTCGCCGAGAATTCCCCGATCGAATTCCCGACGACAATCTTCCCTCCCTCGACGTATTCATATGCACGGCCGACCCTTGGAAGGAGCCGCCGATGACCGTCGTTAACACTGCGCTATCGGTTATGGCGTATGAGTATCCTCCGGATAAGATATCCGTGTACGTTTCGGACGATGGGGGCTCGGACTTGACGCTGTTTGCTTTCATGGAGGCTGCTAAGTTTGCCAGGTACTGGCTGCCCTTTTGCACGGAGAACGGGATTGTTGAAAGAGCTCCGGAGGCTTATTTTGGATCCAATTCTGTGAGTGGTTCTGGCTCTGACGAGGAGATAAAGGTACGCGTTTGTAGTTTAGTTGCAGTTCAGTTGTAGTTTAGTTGTGGGTAGTTTTCCTTTTGAGAATAACGTATCATAATGAATTTCATCAATCATTAAAAAAGTATGTCTGATCCAATCAAGTACACATGGTTGGGCCTGATATTAAATGTGTATTCAAATGATATTAATCATTAAATTTCGAGATTCGTGTTTAGATTTAATGGCTAATATTTTTGTATGCATATTTAATATAACGAGCCGTCTTTACTAGATACTTTGTCTAGATATTATTATCACCACAACAAAAGTTATATATATCCATATTTATTTTATAAAAGTATAGTGTTTAATTGTAAAAGATTGAATAACAATGACATGAATAAAAAATATCACATGCCACGACACAAGTTTTTTGGAAGAGTCTCATCCATACATCAAGAGTTGTTCTTAAATTAAATCTAAGATGCTTCTTCAGTAACACACATATCCTCCAACTTAAACATTCTTACTGTTCGTCTTGTAAAAATAATAATTGATAGATTTTATTGTCAGTTTTTCAATCTCCACTTACTAACTCTTCTTGTCTAGCTACTATGAAAATAAAATCACATAAAATACACAGTCGAGCACTTGTATTTCCACTAGGTTTTATACACGTGCAATGCACGTCGTTAGATACCATGATTAATTATTTTTTGCTTATTTTCTAACTAAAATTTATTCCTCGGTTCCACTTTAATACTTTGTGCTTACTTTTGTCTCAAAACTTTAACATTGCGATTACTTATTTTCTTTGATGTTTGTTTAAATGGTCTATACCTAATTTAAATTTTCATGTTGATATTTGAAGTAATAGAAAATATATATAATCTGAAGATAATTTAAATTTTTATATTATTTGGACTGATATAAAACCAAACTTTACTTGAGAAAGTATAGTGATGCGAAAGTAAAAAATATTAAAACAGTGTTATACAAGGAAGATGAATATTTAAAACTAATAAGGCAATATGATTGATTAATAGTATGCTAAAACGATACAAAAGAGAATATAAATTTTGTTCCTAATCATTAATAAACTTCGTAAAAATTATAAATTAAATATTAATGCTAACACTGGTATACTTTTATATGATAAATGCATCCATATAAGCATATAAAAGTACTAAAAAAAGTTCATGAAACTCTCATCTAAAGATTTCTAATTTCACTCAAAACAATTAAACTAACTTAATTATATAACATTCAGAAAATATTATCTTTTATTCCTTCAATTTTATTTTTTTATTGAGCTAAGATCAATCATCCTTCAACTTTATCTTTTTCCTGGTTAATTCTAGAATAGTGTCTTCATCATTTATATTAATTGTGTCATCAGGCTGGAGTTGTATTTTTTACATTGTTATCATTCCTAAGCTCGTTATTCTTTTATCTTCTCGGTTAACTTTACAAAGTAATCGAATGTATTTTTAATATTCAACACAAACTTCTTAATAAATAGACTTTGATTTTTTCCTATTTCAATGAGAATAAATTTTAATTTTACATATATAAAATTATTTGTGTTCCTAATTTATTACTTAATATAAGATTAGGAGCTACCTCTTTTTTCTCTACAATAAATTCTTCTAATGTGCATCCAATAAGAGTTTCTATCATGTCAATAATGTTACTTTTCTTCTATCCATGTTATTTTTTCACAAAGATCTAAACTAAATACCAATATTTTTCATTACCAATTTACCTTAGATTATAGTATTAATATTTAACTCCTTTAGTATTTGAAGAACAAAGTATAAAATTTATGAATACTTACTAATTTTTCATGTATCTTTCATAGAGAATTCTTCTTTGATTGAGATAAAGTTGTTAAATTATTCTTCAACGGAACTAAATTGGTGTTTTTTTTGATTTATTTCTGTCACTTTCTCATTTGCAATGGAAATAGTTTGATTCTTTTAAATGATATCTCTGAACATTCTGATAGTTTTTCTATATGTAACTTATTGTATTATTTTACCCTATAAATATTATTAACATCAAAGATTAATGTTTCTAAATTATAACCAATCGATGCTAAGCTATTATATTATATTTTTTATGATTTTTATGGATTTAAACATCTATCAATTAATGTTACTAATACATTTTTGTCGCTCTAACTTATTAGTAAAATTACTTTCAGTTACTTTAATTTATATAGTAACAATAATTTTAAAGATATCATATATTTTTAAATTTTTTATTCCCTAACCGAATATTTTTAATCAATTCTTGCTTTTGTTTATTAGCATCAACTTAGACTACTTTTAGATACTAAAAATGGATAGTAAACCCTAAATTGGATTATATATATATATATATATATATATATTAAAATAATACCAAATAATTACACATTTATTTGCCAAGTTTTAAAATTTAAGCCCTTTTTTGTGGTTTTGAACTTAAAATGTGTGATTTATAATTTTTAAAAGTTTAGGAGTGTTTTAAAAAAATTACTTTTAGGTTTGGCAGTTCTATCTTCTATGTTTAATGAGCCAGTGGTAATTTTAAAATATCAAAATATTTCTTACAACTCTAAAAATTTAATGGTTCTTTTTACAATTATTAAAATTATTGATTAATTTTTAAAAAACTCAAATATCAGTGGTCTAGCAATAATTTATAGATTTAATATGTACTTGTTATAAATTTTAAAATTTTATATTTTTTATGATTTTTAAATTTTGAAGAAGTTTTATGTTATAAATTTTGTAACTTTAAGGTTAATTTTGATAAATTTTAAATTTTTAGGTGCATGAAGGTAATCTCTTGAATTTATCTTTTATTGTTTATAAATTTTAAATTTTTAAAATTTTATGGTGTTTTTTATAATTTAAACTTTTGAGGGTGTTTATATAATTTTTGAGACACTGAGGGTGTTAATTAGAAATTTTAAATTCTTTAGAGGCTGCTATTAATTTTCTAATATTATGTTTGTTGTTCTAAGTTAAAAATGTTAAAAAATTTTAGGTGGATCATGATAATCCCTTGAATTCATTTATGTTGTTTCAAAGTTTTAAAATTTTAGAATTTTAGGGTGATTATTTATAATTTAAATGTTTGAGGGTGTTTCTATAATTTTTGAGACATTCAAGTGTTAACTGTAAATTTTAAATTCTTCATAGACTGATGTTAATTTCTTGATTAATATTTGTTGTTTTAAGTTTCGAAGCGTCAAGATATTTTTTTATAATTTTAAAAAATTTAGGGTATTTTGTGCAATTTTAAAAAGTTTTAGGTTTTTTTATAATACTTCATATACTTTAGTATATTAGTTATGTATAATTTCTTTATCTTAACAAACTAATACCGTAACGTTGTTTTATATATTTTATTAATATTATTTTTTTTAAATTGTTGAGCGGTAGATTTTTCACGTAGGATTAGGATATGATATAAATTAGGATAGATTAAGATATAAATAAAATATTTAAAATAGTGAATGGTAATATTGACCATGAAAAGATTTTCTGAGCTCATGCTTTTAAAGGGAGTACGATATTGCCTCTAATATATTAAACTTGTGGGAGCATTTCGATACATGTATTAGAGGAACCAAAAATGTTATAGGGTGTGTGATTTCACTTGTATTGCAATACATTTATAATTTTTTCCTCACATAAATGAAGATTGTTATATACTCTAAATCTATTACCGTTCACTACATAAGCCATTAATTATCTGCCTTTTAGGCCTCATTTTGCAAAGAGTTAAGGAAAGGAACTAAGAAGAATGATTAACATAGTTAGCCCATTCGATAACCCGAAGGACTAAATAATTAACGCATTAGATAAGTTTTATTTTCTGGACTGTGATTAGTTTTATTGTTTAGGAATAACGAAGATTTTGACTATTTTCTTTATAAATAGAGGGGTTAATTCTTAATTCTTCTAAATAGGAGTATTAATAAATCCCTCATTTTGAGGGGTTAGCTTAACTCTTAAATATTTTTTGCGTTTGGCAAAATATATATGAAGAGTAACTCACTTTAACCATTGTATAAATTTATTATGTTTGGCGAATTAAAAAAGGGCTAAGTCTGATTAACTCCTCACTTAATCCGTTGCTAAATGACACCTTAATTAAGTTTCTCGTTTAAAGTAAAACAGAACGTTTTAAAAAAGTAAGGGAAAGATACTATATTACTTTTCTAGAAATGAACAACGAAGTGTAAGGGGATGTTTGGCGACCCTCCCACTAATGAGACTGGAGCTAATTTGGTTAAAATTTTAAATTTTGTTTGTGTAAAATTAAGTTAGTTTCAAATATGCTTTTCTTAGTTTAAATTTAGACCCTTAAATCAGTTTATGACTGATCCATCTCGTTTTCTAGATCAAAAGTAACTTGATTAAGATCTTAACTATGTTAGTGAAGAATTGTCAGATATAATAGCCTAATGCTCACTGATGATGTCATTTAAAAAGATACGCTTATGAATCTTTCAGATAAATATCCCAAAATTAAAGGCAAGCAGGCTTCGAACGGTAAAATAGGGCAACTTGACTGATCCTCGATGCATTTTGGACCTTAGCTACTATTGAAGACTGACTTGTCCACAAGGACACAAGATTAATTAACAGGCCAACGTCCAGTTTTTGTTTGTTTATGGGCCAGCTATTTTGTTTGCTAGTATATTACGTTCGAGGACGTGCAACCAGGACTTATTAAATTGCGTTATCGCCTTGAAAGTAGTAACCAAACTAATGTGGGTCACTGCTCTCATTTTCGCCATCAGAAATTATAGGCTGTTAATTAAGGTGGCGTTTAGATACCATAATATCTTTAGCTTTTCCATGATCTTTTTGCCCAAAATAAAACATAACATGTTTGGAAGCCATAATGTTTTTATTAGACTACAATATCAAAAACCAAGGACATAATACTTATTTTAAAACACTAAAAAGTTGTTTCAAGTTTGATATTTGTGTTTTGAGTTTCAAAGATGTTAATGTAATGTTTAATATGTATTAATA